CATGAGGCCCCTGATTTTTTTTAATGTACGCACATTTACAGCTTTGTGCGTACGCAAAGTTTTAGTATGATTTCAACGCAAGTCTTCGTACATGAGGCCCCTGGTGCTCTTTTGAGCACTTTAGATTAAGTACTTATTGTCTTTAATTGTCATTATACCTCTTAAAAATCTTATATGTGACATTGTTTAGGGTGGCGCAGTGTACTTACTTTCCGGATGCACTCTACATGATAAACAAACAGTACACACACATATATACCATGTCAAAACAAACTTTTATATTGTATTCAATTGGTCATGATGAATTGGTTCCCAGCAATAATAAAAAGAATTTTCATTAAGCAAAGTCTATATTTCGGTCAGATTTGTACCTTCGAATGTACAATACTGTTGGCAATTTTTTTTCATTTGTATCAAATTTATTACTGATTATGTCCAATATGTCAGCAAAGCTGTTTGCAAACCCGGATCTGCGCTCAGTTTGAGGATAAAACCTCTAATGGTTTCTGACGCATGTTTGCACTCCTCCACATTCCATACAGTGACCTGAAATCTTCATCATGCAGAGTGAAGGTCAGAGGCTAAACACAACACCACTGATGTGATTACAGCTCAGTAGCAGACAGGCAGAGCTGTCGAGTTCACATTAAACCACACTAGAGGACACCTGAAGGTCTATTGGATCAAATAATCCAAAATCAACATCAGACAGAGGCCAAGTATGAATCAAAGTAAGCTTTGGAGAGCAAGGTTGGTTTAAAACAAAAGAATGAGAGTCCTTGATTCAATTAAATAGGGGTGTAATAGATCACGGTTGATCCGTGATTCGTATGGATCACAACCCATGGTTCATGACCAGCAGATTAATATACACTTTTTTAATTTACTAAATTTGTAACGATCAAACAGAGAGAGAGAGAGAGAGGAGAGGGAGAGAGAGAGAGAGAGAGAGAGAGAGAGAAAGAGAGAGTGAGAGAGAGGGAGAGAGAGAGAGAGAGAGAGAGAGAGAGAAAGAGAGAGAGAGAGAGAGAGATTGCCTTTCACGTCATTCAAATCACATGTATGAAAGCATTTAGGCTTCCTGTAAAATATTACGATGACAGAAGTAGGGTTGTAACGGTATGAATTTTTTACGGTATGATAATCGTCTAAAACAATATCACGGTTTGACAGTTTCGCGGTATACGGTATGTTACAAATGTTACAAAATAATAGAACAGTGAAGCAAATTTGACTTTTTCCAAATAATAAATTTTTAGTTACTATAAACAGCACCACTTACAATGAACAAATAAAAAAATAAGAAAACAATAAGTAATGTGTCAAAGTCCAAATAAACATGGTGCAAATCCTCAGTAAAAAAATAGATATAAATATTTACTATCCTATAAATAGTTACATAACGAAACTAGATTCAATATGGAACATCCTCAGGTTTTATGTGCCAGCATGGATATGGTTGTCTGTGGATATGGATTTGGATATGGTTGTCTGCAATGCAGACAAACAGCTGCACCTTCATTTGCGTCTTTTGAAAACAGCAAGAGCAGCAGTTCGTCTTTGCTGTGTCACTGTTTTGTCATGTTTCTGTGCTGCTGTGCATGCAAAAGTACTTAGTATAAGAATTATTTCATGCAAAACTTTTTTTTTTGCGTTTTATTTAGCCGCGCATAAATGTATGCCTATCTCTCATTCCGTGTTGTTCAAAAAGCTCATTGTTGGTCCACAAACAAAAGCGAAACCTATGCTTATTGGTTGTGATATAGCGAGTTTGAACCAATCTGGGCATGGAGGAGGGACAATGCATCAATGTATCATGTCTGGTTTGTCCGGAGACACAGTGACGAGCGTTTCTTTGTCAAATCAGTGTTGTCAAATTTTGATGACGTAACCGCACTGATTCCGGAGCCTCTAAAAGTCTGAAAGAAATGTTATGTGACACAGCACTGGAAAGCTGAGATTCTCTTCTTTATGCCAATCTTTGAATTGTATGAATCGGATCAGCGGATCAAAAGTTATTAAACATTTAAGAGCAATACTTATTTTTCTCGGTCTCGGTCTTTAAGGGTTAAAATGGTTGATATGCAATTGTTCATGGTATGATAATCGTGCACGTTCAAATCGTGGTAGACCGTCATACCGGTATATTGTTACAACCCTAGACAGAAGTAGTTGTGGCAGGTTATTTGGGATGTTGTGGGTTTCTTAGGTCATTAAAGGTGTTTTGTGACACTATTTGTTAAGCTTGTGTAAGCTGCACAGTTAATCATGAAAAGATCAAGATCTCAACACCCAAGCAACGAATTATAAATGATAGTGATTTGCATGTTTATTAATCCTTCGAATCGCTGCATTCAAATCTGTGTTTGAAAAGCCCAAAAATACTGGGATATCAGTTTATAGTTTAGATAAAACCACTGGTGTTTATGGTAAAGATTAAAATCACCATCATATGCATTTAACTCGATGCTCAAAAATGAAAGTGGTAAGCAGAAATTACATTATTTTACCAATAGGTGGCGTCATCAACTAGTTATCAAAAATATGCCACTGAATAGTTCATCAAAAATGATCATTCAGCAACAAAACGAAGTTTTATGAGTGAATAACTGAATCATTTTTTGAGAATGAGACAAAAAATAAATATGGGTTGTACAAATGATAATGTTAGATCTCTACATTTAGCGTAATCAGCAACAAAAGTAACAGTGGATTTTTCACAGTACTGAATATTTTACATTTATTCAGCTGATTATTTCTTTTCCAGCTTTTAAGTTCTGCTTGTTAAAACCAAAAGTTTCTTGCAGTGCTGTTTGTATAATAAATGGAAAGCAAATTACATGTCTTCTCCCCTTTTTAGCTGATCCAAAAAAATGGTCTGATCCGTGACAAAAAACCAGTGTAATCAGAACTGTGAGATCTGTGATACGTTACACCACGACAATTATCCATGTGATTTCAAATGATTCTGTTCTATTCTATTCTATTCTATTCTATTCGCATATCTGTTTATGTAAATATCTACAGTTCAAAATATAAATATTATTCTTGATATTCCAAATGATATGCATTTTCAATATGTATATTTCATATTTGCAGTATCCCTCATTGAGTACACCCGTTACAGATCTCTCTTTTTAATGAATACTTTTTTATAGGATGCTGTACAATAATATATCTGTTAGGGCTGCTCGATTTTGGAAAAAATCATAATAACGATTATTTTGGTCATAATTGTAATCACGATTATTCAAAACGATTATCAGTCGAAGTCAAAATTATTCGCCCTTCTGTGAAATTTTTTTAAAATAAATATTTTCAAATGAATTTTAACAGTATTTCCTATAATATTTTTTCTTCTGGAGAAAGGCATTTATATTTTATTTTGGCTCGAATAAAAGCAGGTTTAAATATTTTGAAACCTATTTTAAGGTCAATATTATTAGCCCCCTTTAGCAATATATTTTTGATTGTCTGCAGAAGAAACTACTGTTATACAATGACTTGCCTAATTACCCTTATTAAGTCTTTGAATCGCACTTTCATCTCATACGTTCATATCACACGAGTAGCACCGCGATATGGCTGTATATAGTCTCTGGTGGAACACTACGATGCTTTAAATTTCACAGCATAAACAAAGTTCTTTTTGGATCTTGCCTGATCTCCAAAAATAAAAAAGCAAGACAATATCCACAAGCTTACTTTTATAAGCCAACATGTCAAAGTGAGCGACCCAAAAGAAAACCTGTTTTCCAATTGCTTTCAAAAAGTCTTTCCGCTATAATTCATCTCTGTCCAGAGGAATTTGTTTTCCTCTCGTAAGCATTCATGTGGCCGCCGCAGAGCACAGCTGAAGCCTTCAGATAGGAGAAATGAAGCGTCTCGCTCACCTTGTCCTGCTCCAGCTGCTCGATCAGGTTTTTGGCGTCTCCGAGCTGTGTGATCAGCTTGGTCTTCTCCGTTGTGTGGAGTTCCTGGTAAACACACAGATGACCATGGATTTTAATACATCATTCTTAGTATAATAATAATCAACACTTATTGAGCGTCTGTCATGAAGACTCCAGAGTCAGCTGGTCTAGACGAGCAGGATTAGAGATGCATGAAAACCCACCGGCCAGCTGGAAACGAACTGACCTGAAACTCTGGATATGGAAAAATGGTTTGTTTGAACGTCAAGGGAAATTTTGTGCATCCAATAAGTCAGGCTACACAAACTTTTATCAGCTACTACTCTACAAGTTAACACATAAATTGTATTTAAGCTGTGGTGTGCTCAAGAACTTCCCTTGTTGTAACATTTTAAAGGTCCTACATTTATTTTGGAGACCCCTACTGCAGATTTACATCAGGTGAGGTCATAAAACAGACATTTTTTTATATTAGGGTCGGGACACACCAAGCCGACGCCAAACAACTAGCCAAAAACGAAACCCAACTGTGTTGTCGCCTCACGTAGGATTGCGTCTGGACCAAGCGGCAACCTAACACTCTCCCTCGTAAAGCCAATACAGAAGTAACTAAAACTGCAATTCATCGACCCGCCTTTGGGGGCTGGCTCCAGGAAGTCCAGATGTTCTCTGACTGCAATGGTAAATTTCCCATTTTTTACAGCTGAAAAAAACATGTTTACAGCTTGGTACAAATAATAATTTTGGTGTATATAGGTAATATTACCCTTCAAAACAACTGTGAGAGGGTGAATTTTTTTATAACTCATCTGTTTAATTTTTATTAAGTTGTATTAAGTCTGCATAATTAAGTTTTGCTGTTCGCTGTCTCGTCACCTTAGCTAATTCCAGCTGATTAACCGCTGAACTCGGCATATACATCGTAGGGAAAATCTGATTTCGATTTTGGCTTTTTAAAATTATGAAAAACCATTAATTGATATAACCTATTATTCTATCATATACCGCCCCCTTTCCAGTGGTACACATTTGTTGCTCTTAAAAGCGTGAAAGACCGCGTGCTTATGTGTGTGTGTGTGCGGCGCGCCCACACAGTCAGAAGCATGCGATCAGCATTCAGTCTCTTTCGCACACTGAGACGAGCAGAGCGCACACATCTGAAGTCATCTTAACGTGAGCGCTTTAATGGTCAAATTGGTGTCAAAACGCGGTGTTTAGTGATTATTTATATTAACCCTCAATTGTGTAATAAACAAACGAGTTGAGAGTCAAAAGACACATGAAAGAGAAACCATTAAAGTGATAGCACGCAATATCTCTGCTGCCGCCTGTTTTTATCATTAGTCAAACAACAAAAGGAGAAAATCCCTCACTGCTCTTGACTGAAGGACTTTTGTAGCTTAAGTGTTTTTTTTATAGAGACAGAGTTTTTTAAAGTACATAAACACTATCATCTACCAATACTATCTACCTATCCTCAAATTCAAATACAGCAACTCTAAAGATAGCAGACTTAAGTACAATATGTGTGCAAGGCTGCTTCTGAGGTAAAATAGACAGTAGTGATAGGTAGTTCAGATTTGTAAGGCGGATGTTAGGACTCAGTTAAAACATCACCATGGCATGATCTGAAAAATGTCTTACAGTAAAGTTTTGCAACCCAACTGAATCATGATTCACTTATTTAAATTCCATTAAGATTTTCTGTTAAGAAATAAACGTAAGTTTTTCACCAGATTCTCTCATTTAATCCCTCGGTTTACCCGCAGAGCTGTTGTTTAAGTTTAGTTCAGTAACAGCAGGCTGTCATGTATTGTTTGTGTTTGGTTCACTGAATCACGCATGCACAGTATCATCGGTTTACCACTTCTCAAATTTGCCCTCAATGTAAGGTTACTGTTCTAAAAACTGAATGAGAGTATTTATTGGATCATGTCAAGCCAGAGGTGGGTATTAGGCTTGTTAAAAAGTAAGTGGTTTGTGGATAAGTGCTTACTGGAGACGTGAATCGTTTCAAATGATTCAGTTCGTTTTGATGAACTAGCTCAACCGGTTCACTTGGAAGATCCGGTAAAAAAAGATCCGTTCGTGATCGCGATACAGAAACAAACCCTACTATTAGACACAAATGTGTTAAAGTAATACCTTTAAGTGTCTGTATATAATGCTGTCACCGTGCTGCTGCCATGACCACTCATTGCTTTTGTCGCAAGAGGAACAGCGAGGACTGACTGGAGGAGAACCGGCTCGATCTGGCCAATAGCAGCAGGACTACAGATTCTGTGGTGCAAAGGGTCAAACACCTGCAGCATGGATTAGATTTACTTCTAAACAGTTTACAGTAAGATTATGTATTAAATACATTTACAAATACGAAAACGAAGGAGGTTTTCGCTATAATTTTAGTTACTTTAAGTTCGTTTTGTATGTAAACAATACAGATTCAGTTAGTTGTAGTTTTTAAAAACTCTCATTTTTTATTTTATTTCAGTTAACGACAATTATTTTATATTTTAGTTTTCGTTTTCTCGTTATATCTTGTTAACTATAATAGCCTTGTTTTGATGACCTTAATCTGATTAAAGTCATAATGAAACTAAACAGAAATGGAATTAAAACATGTGGAGTATGCATATTTTAGCGACATTACTGAATTCCAGTACAGACATGTAAACATCACAATCAAACTATTACCATCTTGTAGGACATTTCGCTAAGATCCTAGTATTCACACAGTATAGACACATTAGGTTAATTAGAAAAGTCAATAGCTATGTTTCTATGCAAAGTTGCAAATTAAATTTATATACAAAACAGCAATATCGCATAAAAGACGCGCGAATAAAGCAGCGTTTCCATCCAATGAGTCAAAGTTACGAGTCAAAAATAGTCTCTTCCTGAATACCGGGCGCCAAATATTAACAGTAAAAACTAAATTGGCTGCAGTAGGAGAAGCAGCGTCAATCTTTTCTTTATTTAATAAATGACTTGTGCCTCAGAAGACAAATGCCGACATACAATGAACACGTGGTGGCGTCTGAAGGCGTGAGATGCAGAGCACGGATGTTCTTGACAATTCTGGCAGTCATTAATAAATTTAATAACACTAATATTGAAATGGTTAGGGCATTTTAGAATGAACAAACAACATTTTAGATGTTTTACAGTGTGCTCAGCCTGCTGGTTTGTCCATTCACACACACATTTATCATCATATGATTTCTTAAAAACAAAATCACATGACCTTTTTTTAATGCGCATACTGGAATTTGTTCTGTAAAAAGTGTTTCCATCACAGTTTATGCACATCTTTTTTTATCAAATAAAAAGTTTGTCTAACTCAGTTACATGTTGGTCTACATGTTACATCTTGGTGTTTCCATTAAGCAATTGTTTATGTGCGTATCCAAAATGAGCAAAAAATAGGTGTTATAAAAATAGCTATTGTATAACAGTGGTTTGTTCTGTGGACGATCAAAAAAAGACCATCTAACATGGAGCAAATAATAATGACAACATTATATTTTGACGAAAATATATACATTATATTCCAGACAAAATAAAAGAAATAATAGCTTCTCCAGACGAAACATATAATAGGAAACACTGTAAAAAATCTTGCTCTGTTAAACGTCATTTGGGAAACAGCTGAAAACGAATTAAACCATCACATTTTATCTGTGACTGTGTTTCAGATCCAGATCTTTCTTTTGGGAGACAATCAATTCCAGATTAATAAAACATGGGTTTCGTGACCAAGAAATTAAATAAAAGCAGTGACCGAGGAGCTGTGAAGAATTCTCAATGTCTCTGCCGACTGCACTGAACTCTCACCGCAGATACACACACACATACACACATGCATGCACACACACACACACAAGCAGCACGTCGAGCCGTCACAGCAAACCAACAATCAAACCTCAATTACAGCCCAGGACAGCAGCCAGCGGTTGTGGCGGAGTCGCCTTTATAGCAGAACGCCGCTCACTTCCCGTTTCCTGCTGGTGTATTCATGCTTATATTTTCAGCTTATTTTTTTTTTTTTAATGTATGCATATTTATTTGATTTTTTTTTAATTTTATTGTTCGATTTCATGCACGCACGATTTATTTTTGTTTACTAGATTTTATCAAGGCAGGAATTATTACTTTATTCAGAAAATAAAACCACACAGCTTGTTAAGATCACATTTAACAAAGACACCTGGTGGGCGATAAAATAGCACCAAAAAAACTTCGTTGACAAAAGAGGAAAAAAAATTTTTAATTTTGGTTTATTTTTTAAATAAAAGTTTATTTTTGATCTGGAAAACATTAAAATTCTTTTTGGTAACATATTGACCTAAAGAGCATGACACGGTGGCTCAGTGGTTAGCACAGTGGCCTCACAGCAAGAAGGTCGCTGGTTCGAGTCCCGGCTGGGTCAGTTGGCATTTTTGTGTGGAGTTTGCATGTTCTCCCCGTGTTGGCGTGGGTTTCCTTCGGGTGCTCCGTGCATGTCCAAAGACATGCACTATAGGTGAATTAATTAACTAAATTGGTAGTAGTGTATGAGTGTGTGTGAATGAGTGTGTATGTGTGTTTCCCGGTACTGGGTTGCGGCTGGAAAGGCATCCGCTGTGTAAAACAAATGCAGGAGTAGTTGGTGGTTTGCTGTGTCGACCTCTAATAAATAAAGGGACAAAGCCGACTAAAGCAAACACATAACACAATAGCAATATAATAGCCACTAGGAGTGTCAAAATTAGTTTCTCCAGTGCACTGTAATGCAGACGCGGACAATTCGTAATCGGTTCAGTAATAATCTAACCGGTTATTATGCACTGACGTCATTTATCTCATATGTGCTATCTCATATCTGCTTAGCTTACTATGGCGAGGGAGGCGAGCACGAGTTTTTATAACACTTCAACTACTTAAAAACGCAGAAACTGTTCACAATTTCACTGCATGTGTGTTTGCTGAACAGCCTTTTACTGAGACTTACAGCAGAAGCCCCTATTTTACTGCAATTGAGAAATGAAAGTAAACACGATTTCTCCCTCCCTCTCTCTCTTTCACGGTGGCCCATTTGACCTGCTGCCGTGACTTTTTTTCTCCTCTCGGTTGTTACAGCGATACTTCTGAATACAGACATGAGCGAGTGTCTGCAGAGTTTTCTCCTCCGCATCTATCATGGATCAGCTGTGATCGCCGCTGCCATTTATCAACGTCACTCATCTGTGAAGAGTGTCATTGCCTAAGAGCCAATCAAAGCCCTTTCTGTTGAGCGTGTGACCAATTACATGGGTGTAAGAAAGAACTTGCTAGACAGCTCAGAAAGGAGCATGATATTTATATTTATTTATTTGCTATAAATGCTCATGTTGTTTAAAGGTACAGTTCATTCATCTGACTGTATTAAAGGACAAAATGGAATTACAATTAGTATATAAATATATTCATACATTTTAATACAAGAATTGCTGTGCTGTGAAAAAAATATAACACTGTGTATGGAAAGCATCGTCAATGCACCGTGATGCACCGAGATATCGAATTGAACTGAATTGATGGCATGATAATCTTAACCGGACCAAACCGTGAGACTAGTGTAGGCTCACACCTCTAATATCCACCATCTTAAACATTTACAATGTTTTGTGAAAATCACAAAAACTACATATTCTATTCTATTTACATATCTATCTACATATTTCTATTCTATTCTACTAGTTATACTACTCAGACAAATCGAAAATGATTTAGAGGTCCAGGAAAGTCAGTGAGTTCAGGTTCAGCTGGTGTGTTTTAGCGAGTGTGACGGTGGGTTTGGAGGGGGAGTAATGTGTATTTGAGGTCAGCTGTTAACCTCTGCTCTGACTGTTCACACACCCAGAAAAGCAGATGCTGAAGCCATGCACAATGCTAAGCACAAAACAGAGGTAGATATTAAAAATAAAAAGTTAAAATTTAAAAACGTTAAATAAAATATAGAATAAAATATACCATGCATGAAAAAAATTAAACTAAATACTAAAAATGTAATAAAAATACATTAAAATAAATTAGCTTAAAATTTTTGTATATAATTAAAAAAACTGCAAATGAAAAAAATAATACAATTAAAAAGTTATAAAAATCTGTAAAAATCACACTGCGAGTTTTAAACTTTAAAAAAAAAATTAAAATACTAAAAAAATGTACATAATACCTAAAGAGCTGTGCATGTATAAATAAAAAATCATGTATAAAATATGCATGTGTAAGATGTAAATAAAAGGAAAGCTCCACAGCACTGTTCTCCATGTCTTGTAATAGTTGATGTTTGTGTACCTTCATCTTCTCCAGCTCCTGCAGTCTCTCCTGCAGCTGCTGCTGTAAGACCTCGCTCTCACTGCTCAGCTGAGCGGAGCGCTCTTTACTGCTGCGAATCATCTCTTTACACCTCTGGAGGAGAGACTCCTGCCTTGTGACCCGCTTCTGGAGACTCTCCACATCCACAGCGCTGCCCGAGTCAACACTGCCCTCTGTTGGACACATGCACACACAGCACTTCTGTCAACTAGGGGTTGGGAAATTGCAAAGGTGAATATTCACACAGACGTTTAATTTTTAGTCAAGCACTCCCAGCATTACAAAATCTCCATGATCTGATTTCTTTAAAAATCAGTGACCTTCACTGCCTGATTGAGATACAATATAAAGTGGGTCTCAGACTAGACAAGAAGCACTGCAATAAGCTCCATTTTTCCAAGCCATGTCTTTAAAATATGAAAATTTATTTTACCTCAGTATTTTAAATAGAGTTTCTGCACTAGCCTGCTAATCCTCACGGCACCTGGTTTACATGCTCTTTCTTTTGCTTTAACAACTAAATGAATGCTTAAGTCTATTTAACCTATAGATTTTAATTACATCACAACATCGATGCTGTAAAAGGGACCTAATAAAATTGAAAATAGTCACATTAACCATTTACCGGAAGTTTATTGTTGGCTGAAAAACACAGACTGTGCATACAGCCCATTACAGAGACAGTTTCCCCAATAGACGCTTTTCACATTCCCAGGTTTCACATTTGCAGTAGTCATTATAGTTGGTTAAACTAAAAGCGCAGTAAATGGGAGAGTACAACAAATAATATTTCTACAATCCTATTTGCTGAAACATGAAAAGAAAAACTCCTCAATAGTGTTACCAAGACTGAGACTGATAAGGGCAGCTAGAAGAGAGAATAAAATCAGTTTTACTGTCCTGCTTCCAAAGACACTGCATTACCAACACCTTGTGTAAGCGGTAATTAATTTTTTCTTATTTGATGCAAAGATGATATAATACATACATAAAAACATATAAATGTTTGTACATTTTTCTAAAACTCTAAATATTAAAAATATTGAAGGATTTAAGATGCGGATAACCGTTAAATGCATCATAGTAGTTCTGTGAAAAGGATCCATTTTGAGACAGATACTGATCCTGCTTATTTTAGAAAAGTATGAAGCATGTTTCTGTAATTGTACATTCACACTAGATATGAATGAAGCATCAAGCATGAGTGATTTACCTGTTAAGTCAATGCAAAGATGCGAATAGACATCCTGTGTCATGATTCGCGCGAGAGAGGCGGCACGAATGACTCACTCTGCGCAAGAGAGGTGGCACGAATGACTCACTTTGCGCGCGCGAGAGAGGCGGCACGAATGACTCACTTCGCGCGCGCGAGAGAGGCGGCACGAATGACTCACTTCGCGCGCGCGAGAGAGAGGCGGCACGAATGACTCACTTCGCGCGCGAGAGAGAGAGGCGGCACGAATGACTCACTTCGCGCGCGAGAGAGAGGCGGCACGAATGACTCACTTCGCGCGCGAGAGAGGCGGCACGAATGACTCACTTCGCGCGCGAGAGAGAGGCGGCACGAATGACTCACTTCGCGCGCGAGAGAGAGAGAGGCGGCACGAATGACTCACTTCGCGCGCGAGAGAGAGAGAGGCGGCACGAATGACTCACTTCGCGCGCGAAAGAGGCGGCACGAAAGACTCACTTCGCGCGCGAAAGAGGCGGCACGAAAGACTCACTTCGCGCAAAAGAAGCGGCACGAAAGACTCACTTCGCGCGAAAGAGGCGGCACGAAAGACTCACTTCGCACGAAAGAGGCGGCACGAAAGACTCACTTCGCGCGAAAGAGGCGGCACGAAAGACTCACTTCGCGCGAAAGAGGCGGCACGAAAGACTCACTTCGCGCGAAAGAGGCGGCACGAAAGACTCACTTCGCGCGAAAGAGGCGGCACGAAAGACTCACTTCGCGCGAAAGAGGCGGCACGAAAGACTCACTTCGCGCGAAAGAGGCGGCACGAAAGACTCACTTCGCGCGAAAGAGGCGGCACGAAAGACTCACTTCACGCGAAAGAGGCGGCACGAAAGACTCACTCCGCGCGAGAGAGTGGGTGCACCTCTGAAAGAATCTAGTAGACTTTGACAAGATGCCAAAAGAATGTACACTATTTTTCAGCCTTCCTAAAGCACATAAACACAGCTCAGGGTTTAACGCTAAGGATTTTTTCTACTGGCTCGATCTGATTTTTACTTGCCCTGCCCAAATTTTCACTGGCCCCACCAAAAAAAAAAAAGAAGTTAATAGCTATTTGAATGTGCGTGTGTGTGTGTGTGTGTGTGTATATATACACACACACACACACACACACAGTTGATTTCAGAATTATTAGTCCCCCTAAATTATTAGCACCCCTGTTTATTTTTTTCCCCAATTTCTATTTAACAGAGAACAGATTTTCTCAGCACATTTCTAAACATAGTAGTTTTAATAACTCATCTCTAATAACTGATTTATTTTATCTTTGTCATGATGACAGTAAATAATATTTTACTAGATATTCTTCAAGACACTTCTATACAACTTAAAGTGACATTTAAAGGCTTAACTAGGGTAATTAGGTTAACTAGGCAGGTTAGGGTAATTAGGCAAGTTACTGTATAATGATGGTTTGTTCTGTAGACAGTCTGAAAAACAATTAGCTTAAGAGGCTAATAAATTTTACCTTAAAAAGGTTATACAAATGTTTTTATTCTAGCCAAAATAAAACAAATAAGATTTTGTTCAGAGGAAAAAATATTATCAGACTAACTATCAACATTTCTTTGCTCTGTTAAACATCATTTAGGAAATATTTTAAAAAGAAAAAACAAAAAACAAAAGGGGGCTAATAAATCTGTATATATATATTTACGGTCATTTTTAAAATGTTTTTTAAGAAAAATTATTCAATTCATCAAGGCTATATTTATAAATGTAAAAAAGGTTTAATTGTTAAATATTTATCAATTTTAAATAACTGCTTTGTTATTGTATTTAGTTTCAAATAAAATCATAACTCCAGACATGATTGATTTTATTACTATTACCATTAATAAATATAATAATAATTAATATTAGAGTGATTTCTGAAGGATCATGTGACTGGAGTAATGAAGCTGAAATTTCATCTTTAAAATCACTGGAATAAATGAATAAATTATATGATAAACTACTTTTGAACAGTTATTTTATAGTGCAACATTTCACAATTTGTATTTATGATGAAATAATTGCAGCCTTGGTGAGCAGAAGAAGCTTGTTTTAACATATTTAATCATACTGACCCCAAACTTTTGACCAGTTGTGTATAGAATATTTTATAAGTGAAAATGTGCACTTTAATTTTAACAACCCACAGACATCGTCACCGAATACAAATCTAGGTCAGACTTTCTCATACAGAGCCTCATTTCAATTGTCAGGTTTTGTAGATATCTATCTATTGAATTAATCAATCTATTAAAGAAACGTTGACTATAATTCTGTATTTTAGGCTTAAATTATAGAGAGACATAGCAGATGAACCGAGACTGCATCAGACCAATGTAAATCTTTCTTTCGAGCTGTCAGTGCGGAAAGGAACAAAACAACAGGCCTAATACAACATATTATACGATTAAAATATGGAAAAATTAACAGATAGTAATTTCGGTCAATTTTCCTGACGGATAAACCGAGATCAGGCTGGATAAACAGCTCTCGGTAATATTTCAGCATGCTTTCATCACATGCTGACATCTCGCCCAGCTCATCATTCTCTCTTCATATAGCCGTATATATGGCTATTACACAATCATAATACACTGTGATATAGCCTGGGTCGTTAGTTCGTTGCATTGTTTTGTTTTCTCGCTAAAATCAATCCGCTCAATAGGACAGAGACCGCGTCTCATTCAGGCAATCTTGGACTGATTGATTTAGCGCGAATGCGAGCGCAACTGCTGGATATATGCCAAAAAAACGCGCTAACGGGTGAAACGAGACAGATTCCGAAACAAACGTCTATGTGTGAAAGCACCGTAAGATTGTATTTGCACACAATTGACAGACAGTCGCAGCACGCAGCTCTGGCTCAATCTGGCAGGCAAAAAGGCAGCACTGGCCCGATCGGGCCAGTAACATTCTGTACACTGGCCCGAGTGTCTCGCACGCTGGCCCCGGGCCATCGGGCAGTCCTTATTGTCGAGCCCTGCAGCTATTCTCTCAATAAAATCCACGTTAGCCATTCAGCAATGAAATTAGAGTCACCGGGCAGACAGAAGCCCTGCCCATGATACGAATCTGAATCTATTGTGAAATGAATTTGAGAAGCAAATGAAGCAAATTTCATGCACTAATGAAGCGAGTAAACTCAAATGTTCTCGCATCTACTTCAATGCGAATATCACAATTTATTCACGCAAGACACCTCTGGTGTGAAAAGCAGTGTGAAAAAAGCAGTGCAAAACCAATATCAACCACTAGATACTGCAATCCTACATACTGCCATACTGCACCTTTAAAGTATCAATGTGATATCGACACAAAACCAATCAATTGGTATTGACATTATAGGCCACCCTTACAGTGAACAAAAATAGTTAGCCAGCACTGATAAACATGCACATAAACACACCTGTGTTTAGTGTGGAGTTGTCATCTTTTGAAGGGCTCTGAACGTCAGAATTGGCATCAACCGTATCTGTGGCTGGAGAAACCTGGAGCTCAGAGGAAAGCACACCTCCAGACGCCTGCAAGCGCTTCTTCAGGAGAGACACCTGAACACACACAGCTCCAAAATCACATCTTTTTGACTTACTGAAACACACACTGCTGTATTAACACACACCTGCGTGTGGAGGACAGTGATCATCTGGTCCTTCTCCTCCAGAGCAGCATCAAACTCCTCCTGCAGGTGTTTTTTGGCCTGCTGGTCCATCTGGAGCTCCTGAGGATGAGATGTGAGCTTTGGTGCATTCATTCATTAATTTTCTTTTTGGCTTAGTCCCTTTATTAATCTGGGTTCACCGCAGCGGAATGAACCGCCAACTTATCCAGCATATGCTTTCCGCAGTGGATGCCCTTCCAGCTGCAACCCAACACTGGGAAACATCCATACACATATACACTATGGACAATTTAGCCTGTCCAATTCAACTATACCACATTTTTGGACATGTGGGGGAAACCGGAGCACCCGGTGGAAACCCACACGAATACTGGGAGAACATGGTGCATTCATGTCTCAGAGAAGTGAACATAACATTAGTCAGCTGGAAGATTAATGTATATTAAATTGTTTTAGAAATATATTCTAATTTCAATATATTAACCCTTATATGCTGTTGGGGATGTTTTTATCCACGCTAAGGTGATTTTGAAAATCAATAAACTCTGGGCAAATTCACAACCCTTTGGTTATGTTGGTGGCTGTTTTTGCCGCCATGACTTCCATTACAAGGACATTTTTTATTGCAAAGCCATGACACCATAAAAGCATGATTTTTATGGTTTTACAAAAACAGCCACCAACATAATAAAGGGTAGTGATTTTGAATACACAAGAATTAAAACCACTTTATACATCATTTTTAGTGATTTGTGGTCACTTTTTTCTTGTGCTTGATTATAAAGACAAGCAATATTGTAAACTATTATTACACCGTTAATGTGTTTTTATTAGGTGTTAAACAGGAAAATAAAAGTTACCAAACTACATTATTAAAATAAAATATACAACTTTAAAAAGCGTGTATTCAAAATTTAAAAATAAATTCTATATTGCAGGAAATAAAATGTATGGAAAGGTGAAATTTTAAAGTAATAATTTAAAGTACATTTTTGAAAAGGACAAAATAAAAGAGCTGACAACAAAACAAATTATGGCTTTCTGTTTCTATAGGCATATTCATCACTGCATTTTGGGCTATCCAACGTTTTAGGAATGAACAATAAAGAAATGCATTGGCAGTTTTGCCAAAATAAAAAGCAAATTAAAATATTTTGCTAATATAGTAAATAAATCATATTTTATATATTAAGTTGAAGTCAGAATTATTAGCCCCTTGAATTATTGAAGATTTTCTCAACACATTTCTAATCATAATAATTTTAATAACTTATCTCTAAATACTGATTTATTTTATCTTGGTCATGACAGTAAAAAAAATTTAGCGAGATATTTTTCAAGACACTTCTATACAGCTTAAAGTGACATTTAAAGGCTTAACTAGGTTAGTTAGGGTAATTAGGCAAGTTATTGTATAATGACGGTTTGTTTTGTAGACTATCAAAAAAAAAAAAAAACAGAAACAATAATTTACAATACCACAAAACAGATTTTTTTAATAGATATTATAGGGTATACTGAGCTAGTGTGTTTTCCATACTAATAAACTTCCGGTGACCTGTTATTGTGAACTTTTTTCCATTTTATACGGTTCCTTTTACAGCATTGATGTTGTAATGTCATTAAAACACATTCAGTTAAATAAACTTTGGCATTCATTTAGTTGCTCAAGCATAAAACGAGACAAAAAAAATCTGTTTATTCTCACGCGCCCGTCAAAATCAGCAGGCTAGCGCAGAAGCTCCATTGAATATACTGGGGTAAAACTAATGCTCATATTATAAAGCAGGGGTCTCAAACTCAATTTACCTGGGGGTCGCAGGAGGCAAGGTCTGGGTGAGGCTGGGCCGCATAAGGGATTTCACAAAAAAAAAAGTCCTCAAATGTCATTATTAACAGTTTTAATTATTTCTTCTGAACATGAAGTGTCCTGAACATTAATAGAACATTGAGTGAAGATTATGAACAGTTCTTCTGAACATGGCATCTTTTGCCTACTCCTTGCTGCCAGAGACTTGACAGCGCATCTTCTCACAAATCTGAACCACATTTGGCTTTAGAGCGGAAGCAGCTGAGACCCTCAGTATGGCTTGAAGATGATCATCATTAAGTCTAGACCTGTACTTTGACTTATTGAAGTTCAAGGTGGAGAATAACTTCTCACACAGAAAAAAGTGGGGGAACTCACTCAAAACTTCCATTCCCTCACCTAAAAAAAAGGCGTATATATGTATAAATAAAACACCCCCACCCCACTCCAGTCACATCAGTCTGTACCAGTCTGTATCTACCTATAATATATATAAAATGCAGGCTGTAGCTAGGTAGGTGGCAGGCTGCAGATAGGTAGCTAAGTGGCAGGTAAGTGGCAGGCAGGGGCGGAAACAGCTTACCTTGGTTCTGGCCGGCGCGAGTTCCCTCCAACAAAGGGGCGGGGTGCGTGGTGACGTCACCGGCATCCCCGCCCCTTTGTTTACACGGCGGGCGGGGAATGCCAGTGACCGTTGTGTACGGATAGAATCAACGGAGCGGGGAGCGCTCTCTCTCCCCGCTCCGCTGATTCTGTCAGTGTACAGCGGTCGGCGCGGGCCACAAAATATTGCACTGAGGGTCGCAAATGGCCCGCGGGCCGCGAGTTTGAGACCCCTGTTATAAAGACATGGCAGGGGGAAATGTAATTTAATGCAGTGCTTCTTGTACAATCTGAGACCCACTTTACATCAGATATCACTTAGCCAGTGGAGCTCGCTGATTTTTAAAGAAAACTGACCTTAAACGCAGCGGTTTTTGCATTGGCATACAGTTTGCCGGAAGCGCTTAACCCAGGTTACTGGCAAATTAAAAGTATGTCAGCAGTCTTCCACAAATTCCCCTTCCGACAAACGCTTGCTGTGCTTTGTAATTTTAAGTGCCACCACATAACTAGCTTACGCTACACTTGACTCTTGAAAAGAGCACTGTTTTATAAATGAGCTGCTGGGCTTTTACATTTGTGGCAAGTTTTGTAGCCTTGTTTGCCTTTTCTGAAGGTGACTGGTTGACGGCAAAATTCGAATATTTGCTTAAAAAATGTCGACTTAGGTTGTAGTCTTTAAAAACAGCAATGCTTTCTTGGCATATTAGACCTACCGCTTTCCGTCTAATATTGGTGAAGACATATTTTGTTGTCCATTCTTCCTTAAACACAGACATTCAGAGTCAATTTTTCTTTAATTTGCCTGACTTATTTTCAGTCATTTACGGTCGAGTGCATTTTAATATCCGAGAGTGTGTTCTAATTCTACTGGTTGCGCTAATTGTACCGTGTGCAATACTGCCATCAAATGCCGTCCAATCGTATTGCATCATTAATTTACTAATTCTGAAACCAAACCGTTACTCAGAAGCAGCATTTTAAAAACTCCCTCGCAGGCCGGATGAAAGTGTTCAGTGGGCCGCATATGGCCGGCTGGCCGCAGTTTGCCCACCTCTAAACTACAACAACTGACCACAATCCTCTGCATGACATGAGGACATCATGTATACTCATTAAATAATTCAAAGCAGGTCTGACGTGCGACACATTCCAGGCATTTATCTGCATTATGAAAGCCGCTTCCTGCTGTCTGTAAGTACACAGTGTGAACCGCAGACTAATAGAGATATGAAAGGAGGAAAAACACTGCCTGGAGCCTGTGATGAAGAAGAAATGTGTGTATGTGTGTGTTAGAAAACAGCAAGAGACAAACCTCTCTGAGCTCTCCTATTCTTCTCAGGGCTTTATCTTGACTCTGGCTGAGGATTGCCTGGAAAACACACAGACAGAGACGAATGACACACTAATATCAGAGCAGCTCATTAAAGGGAAAAACATTAGAAAACATCCCCGGAGCCACATTCATTCTGCTGCATCCACTGAATGGGAAATTACCTGGGTTTTCTCTTTATCTCGCTGTGCGGTTCTGTAGGCAGTCACCAGCTGAAAGAGGAACACACAAATCCTCAGTCGGGTAATAATCATCAACCTGGCAACCATCTTAACAATAAATATAAACGTGATCAGGCCTTAACATTAACTTTTTTGACCACCAGCCAATGTGGCTAGAAGTTTTCCAACATTACTAGCCACTCGCCATTTTCATGAGCCACAATTTTATTGTTGGGAAAATATATTTTATACACATAAATATGACTTTGACATGCTAAAATGACTTGATTTAGAGTTTGCGTTATCTCTACATGCCTCATTCATTTCACTTTTTGTGTGTCGTGTACGAGCTTGCTCAATAATCATGAGCAAATGGGTCAGGGTTTCATATATTACAATTAGTTTTCATAATTTTCAGAGCCCAAAATTAAGGATTTACCCAATCTTTTCAAAGAATAGTTTACCGAAAGCAACTGGCGCTGCTTACAATAAGTCAACTCTGGAACTCTTGAAAGCAGCAAGGTTGTGGATGCATGTTCCTCCCTTTTTGTTCAGTCTAAAGAGAATCGATCGCATCAGTTGTGTTTCTAGACACAGTTGCTTCACAAAAGGAAACGGGAGCGCGCACGCGTTATAAACAGTCGCGCGCATCACCTCAGCTGTTAGCGCGAGTGATTATCCTCTCATCCAGTGTTCACCTGCTTTGCTCGCATGAAGTTGGTTTAATTTATATAATGGATTTATTTATAATCTTATTACATGTAAAAAATGTATAACACTACATTTTACTCAAGTGATTTAATAGTATTTATGTGCTTAATTTTCTAATAACTTTTTAATAAATGATTTCCCACATTAAATACTATAGTAATTTATAGTAAGCAATATATTGTTTTTAAACCATAAACTGTCGTGATGTAAATTCCGTACTGGTGATTTGTTGTAATTATAGTAGCAACAATTTTAGCAATGGAAACAAAATAACTGTTAATAATTATTAAAAAATAATATATATGATTGACTTGAAATGATTGTTAGAAGCATGGGACGATAACCAGTTTCAAGGTTTACCGTGGTTTGGAAGTCAAGCTTTTAAAATCGTGAACATTTTCTGCTTTATGCATTATATAAACTGCATTATATAAACGTTTTATTTTGTTTTTTATGTGATTTTATGACTATTTTATTTAGTTTTTTTTAGAGCAACAGTTTCTCAACATCAGCAGCTACTGGTCAGCCATTGATTCAGGAAATATTAGAAAAACAAACTGCTTATACACCAACATCTAAGCATGCTGTAGACCCGAACAGTGCAGTGGCTTTACTTTATATCCACAGAAAAAAAAGATCTCTAAAGATGCCTTTTCAAGTTGTAAAGAAATCTGTCTTTGAGACTAATGAAGACAGCAGAAGTCAATCATTTACTTTAATTATTTAGCCTGACATGATTACTCGTCCAAAATATTTTAAATGTTTCTTAAAATAAATTATACTGTGTTCATTGAGGAAAAAAGTAGTTGTTTTTACCCAGACTTTTAAAAATGTTCATATTTTAAAGCAGTAATCACAATACCGCAATATTTTTATTCAAGCTTATCACACCATCAGAATCTTAAACCAGCCCATGCCTACCTCTGAGTATTTCCCTCTGTAATTCCCGAGGCTTCTCTCCACCCGGTGTAGGCGGTGGAGCAGCTGCTCTCTGGACAGACTCTCCACGCTGCCGGGCGAATCCTCCGCCTCACTCTCGATGTCTGACGGAGGGTCGTACGCCGGCGCTTCATTCTCTCCGGTCTGAGTGAGAGACTCTCTGGAGGAGCTTCTGATCAGACTGTCCCGCGAGCCAGAGCGGAAGAGCCCTTCACTGCGTCCCGAACCCCGGAGCAACGACTCCACAGAGGAGACCTTCTGCTGGAGCTTCTGTGCCAGAGACTGAGACTCCTCTCTCTGCAGGACATTAGTTATTAAGCATTGCAGACAATGATAATCTGAACAATTCTTAAGTCTAAAATATTCTTATGCGTTTTTTGGTGACTCAGTGGTTAGCACTGTGGCCTCAAAGCAAGAAGGCCGCTGGTTCAAGCCTCTACTGGGTCAGTTGGCATTTCTCCCAGAGTTTGCATGTTCTCCCAGTGTTGGCGTGGGTTTCCTCCGAGTGCTCCGGTTTCCCCCACAGTCCAAAGACATGCGCTATAGGTTAATTGGTTCAACAAAACCGGCCGTTGTGTTTTTGTGTGAATGTGAGAGTTTATGGATGTTTCCCAGTACTGGGTTGCAGCTGGAAGAGCATCCAGCTGCAAGATGGTTCTTTTCTGATGTGGCAACCCCTGATAAAAAAGGGACTAGGCTGAAGGAAAATGAATGAATGAATGTTATTATACTAGTTCTTGTTAATTCAAAGTGCATTAACTACAGTTATTAAGCACAACTTTTAGTAATGCTTCAGTAAACATTATTATATTAATGATATTGCATTAATTAATACACACACATACCAATAGGCCCAAGTCTATTCATCAATTAAATTTGACGAACGCCACTCAGAGACTATCCTTCATGTTCAGTTGTGGCCTGGAGTTATTTTTAATGTACATGTGTGCATTAAAGGTGTCAGAAAGTTTAACCTGGTGCCATAAAAATCAATGTGCTGTCTTTTTAATATAAGAATCACCCCAGGGGTCGCAATAAATAAATAAATAAATAAAAAAGCTTTTTATTTGCATGTTGTTGTTTTAATATAACTATTAACTACTATTTTTATCTTTTGTAGGTTATGGATACAATTTTTAAATATGGTAATTCGGATGAATGAATTCGATTTTTGTGAATCATTCAACGACCCCTCCTCTGTCCCACGATCCCCCAAGGTGTCCCGACCCCCACTTTGGGAACCACTCCTTTAAAATAAACATTTAAAAAAAAATAAAAAAAAAACAAAGGTGGAAATACCACAAAAGAACTAATCTAATGTAATATTCATAATATATTTAAATGACAAATATTGAAATGAAACGTTGCGCAAAACAGGAAAATTACGGTTGTGCTGGTCTGAAAATAGCAACAAATCGCAGCATACACGTCTTGCGTCTTATTGTTCTGGGTGTATGATATAAGGCCCTTAATTTTGCCTTATTTCTTCGGAAGTTGAAAGCAAAACAATATTATTTAATTGCAGAAAAATAAAATATCGCGATATCAGATTTTTCCAGTATTGTGCAGTCCTAGATGCATGTCACTTTTTCTTTTTTACTTCATATATGGCCAAGTCTTTGCTTTACCATTAAACACACTAAAGCACATATACAATCAGAGACTTACCTGAGGAGAAGCGACTCCATCCCCATTAACACTGCCTCTGGGAGAGCTGCCGGCTGCTTTAACACTCTGCGCCAGAACAAAAGCAAACACACATGAGTGAAAGTGGCTGGCGGTTAACTTAGACCCGGTTAGTACTCCTCCAAGCCCTCGTGCTGCACCCCGATTACTCTGGGAGCAATATTAGTCTTTGCTACGAGAAATGCAGGGGCTTGTAATTAATAAACCCAGCCTGACCTCATGCAGTCGGAGAGGAACACGGGGGTTAAAAACAAACGCACACAGCAGATCTATTGCGTTAAACACACAAGGAGTTAAACACAGCAGCACTACAGTCAAACCCGCTGGAGGAGCTGGTTACTGAGAGCGTGTGCACTTGCATTGAGTTCTGCAGGAGTTAAACGGCCACAGCGGTCATCTACTGCACTGGAATATCTGTATATTAGCATTTTCAGTTTCAATTTTGAACTGCATAACCTTGAAAAGGTAAAAAAAATAGACTTTTATTAACATTTGTAATGGTTTAAAGCAGGGGTTTTCAAAGTGTGAGGCGGGCCTCCCCTGGGGGGCGCCAGAGCATGTGAGGGGAGGCGCGGGAAAAAATGTTATATAATAAAAATAGAATTATTTAGTTTCATTATTATACGTATTTTTTATTATATTTAAACTTTTTAATTAAACAAAGCTAAAAAAAATAATACGTCAAAAATAAGAAAACCTTTTTTACCCAGAAGGCCAAAGCTGTGAATTCACTTCTGTTTGGCAACCCCGCCAATACAGGTATATTTCTGCTAATACAATGGATCGGTTTCTGAGACCCCCCGATTCAAAGCCTTCAAGTTCAGGGCTTAAACCCAAAAGACGACGATATGATGATCAGTATTTGAGTTTAGGATTTATGTGGACAGGACCAGCTGATGAACCACGACCTTTATGTGTGGTTTGTCAAGATATTTTGGCTAATGACAGCATGAGACTCGCTAAACATTGACTGTTTTGACTGGGATGGACAGTTCTTGGATCTGTTCTATTCATATTGAACCATCATCCTAGTTTTAAAAACGTTATATTAAAATACTTATTACTCTGTAAATAATTGCACTTTCATGCAAGTGATGATAAAAGTGAGTTAACAGTCTGACATCTGTCTGTGTCTTTATATATACTGTGTATATATATATATGCAATGAATAAGTTGTGTCAAAAGGGAGGCCCACTGTCTTAGACTTTGAAAAACCCTGGTTTAAAGTGATATACTGTCTAAGTTGGTGTTGTATATTAGGCTAGAAAAATATACATTTACACAGTTTCCACACAACTGTGCTTAAACTCCTTATAAAGGTAATTTTTTGGTAATAGTGTACTAAATTCCTTATTGAGTGTTAAACAGACGTATTGATGTGCGCTCGCTCTAGATGGGCGTGTTCAGAACACTGTCAGTGATGGTCTAGTTTGGTTTCATTTTCCTTCTCTCCTCATATTGATGAGTGGTAAACGTGCGTGCATGACTGTAAGTTGATTTATCTTCCGTTATTAGTAATTCTGTTTATCATGTTATAGTAATCCTGCTGCGGCACGGCCGACAGATATTACTATTAGTTCATATTGGAGTTTATAGACCTTTTTCTTGGAACGCAAAATTACCCATTATGCTTTGCGTGTATGCGCAAGGAGAATGCAAAGAACTTCCGGTCGGCAGCTGATGCGTGTAAACAGTCACATTTGGACAGCTTTGAAACGATAGTTTTAATCTATTTTACCTGCTTTTATCCTCTTTGAACTAATACTGTTGTCCATCTGCACCATCTCCTGCACTGATCATTTAAAGAAATGTGATCTAATAGAATGGAAAACAGCTGCTGTGAGGCGTTTTGCCCTCGTTGTCAGACGGCATCTTCTGCAGTTTAAATGAAGCCTCGTCATCGCTAAAGTCAACATTTTATCTTTATTTCAAATATATAACCAGCCCAAACAAATGTACTTCACCAAACTGTTTGACACACACACGTAGCCTGTACTGTGCCACTGATACACTGATTTAATAACTGTGACAAAGTGAAAATATAGGCGAGTGTCATTTAGAAATGACAGAAAAACACAAACCGTGGTGAATACAACACACGAAATAAAACACAAACGGCTCGCGATTAGAATGAACAGCAAATCAGCAGCAGAGGATCAATAACAGACTTTTATTGCTCATTTTTGTAAATTGCACGACTTTCATACCTGTTAAGTTTCACACCAATACTCTGGTTTGCTCTCTCTCTCTCTCTCTCTCTGTGTGTGTGTGTGTGTGTGCGTGTGTGCGTGCGTGCGTGCGTGCGTGCGTGCGTTAAAGAGCCGCTGAGCTGACAGGCTGACACACTGTAGACGGCAGACACGTGAACTAGGAGGAGGTTTTTCTCGTATTTCTGACGCGCTTGAACCACATGTGACAGATTATAACAGCTTTAACAGACACATTTCTAAGTTGTGTGTCACAAAAACACTCTGTTATCCATTAAAAACGTTATTGAAACCCATTTTCGGAGCGCAAATTACCAGTTGTACACGCTGTAAACGGTTACATTGAGTAAATTAGAATCATTTTAACTAGAATAACACAATACAAACATTTTGAGTCAATTAGTTGCAAAGAAGTTAGACTGACATATTGAAACCATGTTTTATCTACAAATGTGCTTTGTGTTCATACAACATGTTCAAAGCAGTTCAGGTTTACTTGATTGGATTAGATGCATAAAGGGTGCTACGATTAAATCATGTTCATTCAACAATTATTTTATATATAATTATTGTTAAATAATTATTTTGAGTCTATCACTGAATGCGTGTCAGGAATATTGAAAACAAAACCAACTTAACCGCACTCATTTCTGGCGCCCCCTGGATGTACAGCGCCCTTAGCATTTGCCTATACTGCCTATGCCACGGGCCGGCCCTGATACTAGAGGATGTAAAGTGACACATTCTGAAGCGATAAAACTAAATAATCATCATCTGTTTCCTGTCACGCTTCTTACTGGGGCTCCATAGTGGACTAACAGTCCACCTAGAGAAAAGAACATTACAATCCTTTACAAATAGGTTCCCCTTAAATTTCTGGTCAACAAGCTGAAACTGCATTTTCCTACTGACCAACCTCGAACAACACCATATGTTTACAGTGGGGGAAATAAGTATTAAACATGTCACCAATTTTTTCAGAAAACACATCTCTAAAAGTGCTGTTGACTTGAAATTTTCACCGGATATTGATATAAATCCATATATTAAAAGAAAACAAAAAATTAATCTGTTATTATGAGCATCCCTAGTAGAAATGCATGGAAAGCCCAGACAGTAGCTCAAATTACTCAGTAGTTCTTCAGCAATCCTCTGCACTTCCGCAGTGCAATAAACAAATATATTAGCTGATTCAGTCCAACATCTACATTAGCAGGAGGATGAAGATGAAACCAGGGCGGACATTTCAGCAAGGCAATGATCCAAAACAGCTGAGGAATCTCTCAAATGCTTTCAGAGAAAGAAAATCAAGCTGTAGAATGGCCCAGCCAATCACCTGACTCGAATCCAATAGAAAATACAGAATAAAGCTCAGCTTTGATAGACGAGACCCACAGAAGCATCAACATTTGTACACTCTGTTGAAGTCTGTGAAAAACTCACATCTGAGCAATGGATGTTACTTCATTCTCCATATGAGAGGCGTCTTTAAACTGCAGCACCAAAAAAGCCTTCTATATAAAGTATTAAATATATATTTGAGTAGTTCAGCACATCCTCCTTGTGTCATTTTATTGTAATTACAACTCATTTTCACATTTTATTGTTCTAATGTTTCTATTGTTTGGGTTTTTACCAAAATCTGCTTCAATTCCATGTCAACAGCTCCTTAACAAATAATAAATCCAAAAAAAATCATGACATATTTAATAATTATTTCCCCCGCTGCATATATTTATTTTATTTGGCCAACATACAATACACACAATACAACACACACTATAAATATAATACCTTCTAACATAATGCAGTTTAAAATTACGCATAATCAGTAAATAATACAGTCAATAAATAAAACGTAACTTTTTTTGCAGATATAAAGTATTTTCATTAGCTGCAAAAAAACATGCTCTGGAAAACAAGAAACAGTACACAGCATCTTTTCAAGCCATTAAGCATGATAGTGATGGAAACAGCACACAGATCACATGACCGGTGTGTTTGATGTGATTGGATGGCGGTGGGTGTGTGAGTTTAATGTGGTCAGGTGTGTGTGGAGAGATTATCCGTATCTACAGATCATGAGCAAATCCCTGAGTCAGAGCAGAGTCTTCACAAACAGAACTACAGCTGAAAACACTGCAGATCTGAGCAAAAAAAACAGCTTAAATGGGCCTAAAAATGGAGGAATCTAACTCAATTACTTGTTTAATGCTTTAAATCAGTGATTTATGGTTTTACTAATAATTTAAATACAACTTTAAAAGCTGTAATAATTTAATGGTAAATATCAGATGAGAAACTTACTTGGAAATTTGAAATTTACTTAATAAATTAGGCCAAGTAAAATATGTTCTAACAAAACAAATAGTAAAAATGAAACGCACTCACTGGCCACTTTATTAGGTACACCTTACTAGTACCGGGTTGGACTCTATTTTACCTTCAGAATTGCCTTAATCCTTCATGGCATAGATTCAACTAGGTATTGGAATTATTCCTTAGACATTTTGGGCCATATTGACATGACAGCATCACAAAGTTGCTGCAGATTTGTCGGCTGCACTCATGATGCGAATCTCCCGTTTCACCACATCTTAAAGGTGCTCTTTTGGATTGAGCTCTGGTGACTGTGGAGGCCATTTGAGTACAGTGAACTCATTGTCATGTTCAAGAAACCAGTCTGAGATGATTTAGGTTTTATGACATGGCAAATTATTCTGCTGGAAGTAGTCATTAAGAGATGGACATGGTCTACAACAATTTTTAGGTAGGCTGTGACGTTGATTAATAGGCCCAAAGTCAAGCCAAGAAAATATCCCCCACACCATTACTCCACC